TTCTCTTATGTGTTCTGGTTCTTGCAGGAGGAGGCTGGCTGTTGACCGGTTCACCCGGCCTTGAAATAGGAGGAGCTGTCCTCTGTGAGGGAGCATTTGTCGGTCAGAGCACAATCTGGAATATGTCCCATCAATACCCAAATGGTCAGTCATACAGAGGAAGGAAGTTCTGACACATGCTACAACATGGATGAACCTTGAAAATATTACTTTAGGTGAGAAAAGCCTATCACAGCATGACTCCACTTATATGAGGTTCCTAGAATTGGCAAAGCCATAGAGACAGAACATAGACTAGAGCTTACCTGTTAGAGGGATGGGAGCAGGGAAAGTGGGGAGTTACTATTTAATGGATATGGAATTTCTCTTTGGTATGATGAAAAGTTCTGGAAATAGGGGTGGGCTACACCATATTGTATATGTACTTAATGCCACTGAAGTGTACATTGTGAAATTATTTAAATGGTTAATCTACACTAATAAAAGAGAAACATGCAAATTAACCATCACTCTGCTACACCTAACCAGGCCCACTGGCCAATCAGGAGAGAGTATGCAAATTAAACCAGCTTTCGGCTAGCCATGGAGTTAGTGCAAGCAGGAGGCTTGGGTTGCCCCCAGTGATGGAGGAAGCCAAGCTTCCTGCCCTCCCTGGCTGGCCCTGGCCTCCACTCAAGGCTACAAAGTTTCAATTACAGAAAATAAATAAATCCTAGATACTTGCTTCCACCTGGCCCTGGCCTCCACTCAAGGAAGTGCTGAAAAAGAAAAAGAAAAAGAAAAAAAGAAGCAGCTGGGATCTTGGGTTGCTGGAGGGGGAGAGGGGAGTGAGCAGGCCAGGATGCGACAGCAGGGGTCATTGGGAGTAAGTAGACCAGCAGGGGGTCCAGTTGGGGGTGAGCAGGCCATCAGTGGGGGTCAGTTAGAGGTGATCAAGACAGCCATGTGGGGGGTGGGCCAGTTTAGAGTGAGCAGGACAGAAGCAGGGCAGTTGGGGGTGAGCAGGCCAGTGAGGAAGGAAGGTGGGAGTGAGCAGGCCATCAGGGAGGGCAGTTGGGGGTGAGCAGGTCGGCAGGCAGAGTGGTTAGGGGCAATCAGACAGGCAGGTTAGTGGCTGGAGCCAGCAGTCCCGGATTGTGAGAGGGATGTCTGAGTGCTGTTTAGGCCCGATCCCTGTAAACCGGCAGTCAGACATCCTTCCAGGGGTCCCAGATTGGAGAGAGTGTAGGCTGCACTGAAGAACATGCCCCCAACCCCCACCCTCAGTGCATGAATTTTGTGCACTGGGCCACTAGTATAAAAATAAATTTTAAGTCTTTTACTTTAAAAGACTATTTTTTTTTTTAATGAATAATTGTCAAACCTTTTATAGAAACACTAGAGGGCCTACAGGTTCAGAAGTTCCAGGACTATTTCAAATATGCCATCCTTCCTCCACATGAATTTTGCTCTGTGTTGGAAATGCTAACATTTGATCATTTAAACAATGAGTTCCAAATTGCACCCCATGCCCAACACTGCTACATAACCCCTCAGCTATGAGATAATTGTTTGGTTTGATTTAAAATGTTGTGAAAAGTGTGATTGATTCATTTTTGTAATTCCCTCTTATTCTGATGGAGGAGCAGATTGCCCAGAGCCTGGCCAGGACCCTTTATGGTCATGCAAACCCAGGGTTCTTCCCGCCCCACCCCAGGCTCACTTCACTTCCTACTCCCATCACCCCACATAGGTGCCCTTCCAGGCTCTCAGCATTTCCTGGGAGGGAGGCTCACATGTGCCTTGGCACCTAGTGCATCAGGCCTTCCGCAGATATGCGTCAGCATTTCGGTGGGACCTGTTGGAATGCCTCTCTCCAGACTGTGAGAAACTCTGAGTCTTGCCCCAGTAGTGGCTTGTAAAATCAATTTAGTGTGTCATGACCAATATTTAAAAATTAGTACAGAAATGCTTTGAAAAATATCAGAGTACCAAACAGAGAACTTTTGTTTTGGTTGCGTGTTTGGGTAAACTGGATCAAATCTAAAATTTACTTATTACTGAGAGTTTTAAACAAAGTCATTTAAAAGACATTATATACAGCCCCCCTACACACACACACACACATACACACACACACACCTGAAGAGAGACAGGGGAACTTATGTTCTGTGGCTAGTATTTATAGGGAAGGAAGGCTGGAGGGAGGGAGGAAAGGAAGGGAGGAAAAGAAGAAGGGAGGGAAGGTTCACCATGGTGTCCAGAATCACAGGGAACATTGCTCACCCCCTACATCACATGTGTCAAACACAAGGCCCTCGGGCCAAATCCTTCCCGCCAGGCCTTGCAATGTGGCCCGCACCGTGCTGTCATCACTGCACTCCGCTGCGTTTCCATCACAATGACAGTTTATGACTGTTCAGTAAACCATTCCGCCCGCGATTTAGGCTGGATTTTAGATTTTGGCCCCTTCTCTGATTGAGTTCGACACCTCTACCCTACATGAAGGCCAGCTCGCCCATGGTCTACAGCATGAAAGACAGCAGGCTTTACTCACCACTATGCTCTTGGTTAGAAAAATGACAAAAATACTGTTTTAGCTTCATTAAGCTCACGGCAGTATACCAAGGGAGATATACAAGCTAACAACCACAGTAGGACATGATAAATGCTAAAACAGAGATGTGTTTAAGCTAATGTCTGAGAAGAGAAAAGGCTGATTCTATAGAGGGTGTATTCATTTTCTAGGGCTGCTGTTACAGAGTGCCGCACACTGGGCAGCTTAGACCAACAGAAATGCATTCTCCCACAGTGCTGGAGGCCAGAAGTCTGAGGCCAGGGTGGCACCAGGACTGTACTTCTGAAAGTGCTGGGGAGGGAGGCCCAGCCTCTCCCAGCTTCTGGCATTCCCTCGGCATGTGGTAGCATGAGTATGGTCTTCACACAGCATTCTCCCTGCTGCGTGCATGTGTCCCAATTTCCCCTTCTTAGAAGGACATCAGTGATGTTGGGTTAGGGACCCACCCTAATAATGCGCCATCCCCTTAACTAAATAAATTACGTCTGTAATCACCCTTTTCCCCAAAAAGTTCACCTTCTGAGGTGTCAGGATTGAAACATGATTTTGGGGAGACAATGCACATAACTGAGGGTCAAGAAAAAATACTTTGTTTTCCCTAAACCTTGACCATCATTTCCTACCAATTCAGAGAGGTGATGGCATTCCAGAAGGAAGGCGCTCTCCTGGGCCCCGGCCCCTGCTGTGCAGAGAGCCACGCAGCCACACGCCGCCTTGCTGGCCTGTCCTCCGAGGACGGCAGCCTGCACCATGCTGCTCAGGACGCCAGCTACGGCTCTTGCTTTAGGAGCGATGAGGAGAGCCATTGTCCTCAGGCTGCGCCTTACACTCCTGAGTCAGTAAACACTGAGCCGCTGAGTGTGCGCCAGGGCCTATCGCAAGCAGGATCTTGCTTCCTCTTCACAAGGTGGACTCTTACATACGCGCACCACGGAAACTGGAGCGGAAACCCAACGTGACCAAAGCACACGGCCTTCACTTGTAGGTACAGAGTAAAAATCCGGGCCTTGTTCTGACTTCGGAGTCCTTTGTAAAGCTCTTTCTGATCACACCGTGGTAGGAGGCAGCTCCCGAGGGAACATACACTGCACTGCGCCTGTCCACAGCTCTGCCTCTAACCCTCTCTCTGTCTTCGGACAGCCGGACCAGGAAGGGAGCAGGGAGGGGAAGGGAGCTCCATTCTATAAGAAAGGACTTCATTCTGCAGGAAAGCGTAGTGCCCAGAGGGACTCTAACTGGAGCCTAGAACCCCAGGACATTCAAGCTGGAAGGGAGTCCAGAAGGTACTGCAACTCCCTCTGTCATCAGAAGTGGCCTCGCAAACAGGTGACTGGCCCACAAATCTACGGCTAGCTGGCATGGGTTCAACACCAGGACCGAAGAGTAGGACCTTTGTATGGGCCCCAACGTGCCATACTTGGGGAGTTACATGGATTATTTAAACTGCCCCCGCCTGGGATAAAGTGCAAACAGTTAAAACCAGTTGAATGACCAGGCCTGGAGGTTTGATAGTGGGCCAATCAGTCACTCAACAATAACGGGCTTGCATGGCCCACAGAGCATGCTGGGAGCCAGCCAGGATGTGGGAAAGACAGGCCTGCTGTGAACCCCCAGAGGCTCGCCCCCCCCCCGCACAGGAAAACGATGGATGGAAATATATAACAAAACAGCCTCAAACCTCAAGCGTTAAACAAAAATTTGAGGAAATACTGAAATAGGGGTCCTGTCAGACTCAGGAGTCACTGCCCCTTGTCTTTAGGTGTCATTGAAATGCTCAAAGGCTGGGACAGGTAAAAATGACCTGATAAATGCACGTTATTTTTTCCACTTAGTTCCTGCTCAGTCTGTGTGGCTTGCAGTCTCCAGTGCCCAGCAGAGCCGTCTCTGTGGCTGTGCCCAAGTGCCACAATGCCCAGGTACGGGTCCTGAGGGGGCAACGCCGCCTCCAGGTATTTGATTCACTCGGGGCCGAGCAGCTAGAGACTTGAAACATCTTGTTCATACCATTTCATTGGGACTCTTAGATGGGATTGCAGTAATAGCAATAACAGCAATCATTTGTTGAGAAATGATTTGCTGTCACTCAATCACCATGCACGTATGATCTTATCCATGAAATGGGCAGCAAAGGACAGGCTTTTCCCACACCAAGTGCTGCCTGCCACCGCAACCCAGCCCTCCCGCGCTGCCCCCTGAGCCACCGCGAGCTGCGAGTCCTCTACCTCCCAGGGCATCACCCCCGGACGCCCCTCTCCCCAGACTAGGGGAGGGGGGGAAAGGGGGCGGGAGGGCGGCCTGGAGAGTCTGAGGACAACTGAGCCTCTGCTGGGAATGTGCGAGTTAACTAAGCTGTGCCTGGAGGAGCCAGCTTCCAAACTGGTCGGGCGGCTCTTGGGACCACTCTCATCTCAGTTGCACCTCTCGATGGCACTCAGACACTCACCTTTATTTCTTTGGAGGCGTGCTGGCCGGGGGCCTTCTTTCCGCCCTTGGAGGACTTGGAGGAGGTGGAGGAGCAGCCGGGGGCGCGCTTGGGCTTCAGGTCGTTGAGGCTGCTCAGGTACTTCCTCCGCAGGGCCAGCAGCTCCTGCAGGTACTGCAGGCAGTCCTGGGTGCGCGAGTACATCCACGCCCGGTCGCCCTCCTGCTGCAGGTAGTACAGGCTGGTGTCCATGCTGCCGGTGCTTTTGTACTTCTTCAGAGACTCGCTGAACTTCTCCCCGTGGTCCCCGACCACGTACATGGAGCTGCTGCGGACCAGCCGCACCGCGGGCCCGCCCTCGGAGTAGGACCTGTCGGCCACCTCCGCCTTCCCGCGCGGCCTGGGGTGGAAGACGGAGTGCAGCTTTCGGAGCATGGTGCTCAGTTTCTCCCCGTGGACGCCTTCCAGCTGCCTGGCCGCCACTTGATCTAGCTGGGGGTGGGCGAGCCAACGTGCGGGCCTCCGTCCTCTCCTTCCAGGAGGCCTCTGGGCGCTGGGAGCCCGGGAGCCAGTGCGCGCTCAGTCGGGCGGGCCACCAGGGGACCTCTCATGGGAGTGGGCGTTCTCCCCAGTAACCCAGGGGGTAGTGAGCGCCCTCTGAGCCTAACAGCAAGTGCCACCATTTGGGGCAGATACCCTCTGTGCTCCTCCATCGAGGGTCCCAGCTGCGTGGGGAACCGGTGACATTGCTTTTCCTGCTTAACTACTTTCTTTCCTTTTCATTTCTCCGTTTCTGGATGTGGTCTCGATTTGAGTTGATCTTGGCATATAACTGTGCACGTTTCCGCCTTGGCTGAGCTAGCCCTGGTCCTGAACTCCTGTATCCAAAACGAAATCCTACTTTGCAAGGACGCCACTCCACCGGAAGCAGTGTGCTGCTTGAGGTAAAATCCAGTCCCCTGAGCTGGGCCAGGGCGCTCTGGGCCAGGCCCATTGGCAGTTGGCTTGCAGATCTCCGATAAGCGGGGGTCTGAGCCGGCATCAGAGCGCCCTGCAGGCGCCTCACCTGCCGTAACAAAATCTCTCCGCAGTCACTGGATAGCAGCCCTTTGTGGAGATGGGAGGAGTCAGGTATCCGGACCACAACTTTCTGCACAAAAGCCTCAGTCAGCTGGGGGTAGCACACGTTCGGGGCAGACCTGCTACGTTCAGCTTGAGCCAAATAGACTAGTTATGATCAGACACAGACTATTTTTTCAAGAGCATCATTTGAACACATTCAAATGAATCTTCCGATGTCCCCTCTATAATTTTTTTTTCAGGCAAACGCTAAGCTTCATCATTGCACTCATTTTCCTACACAGTCTATTTCTTTGCTCAGAGAGCTGAAGCCTGTAAGTCTCTCACACGGGCATTATCTTAAGCTGAGATGGATGTAGTGGAGGCCACAAGGCCCCAGAAATAGTATGTGAAACTGTATGTGAAATGTTATTGGATGTGTGTATTAGCATGGTTTATTTTTGCTCTTTTTTTAGAGAGGGGGAGAGAGAGAGAGAGAAAAAGTGTTTGTGGTTTTATCAGATATTCAAAGAAGTCTCTGATTAAAAAAATAAATTAAAAATGTTTATATCTTGTTCTGGAACAATAACCTTCCTTGTAGAATATAGCTGTAGGAGGATATTATAAATATCTCTGTACTGAGTGCTCTGTGTCTGTGGCATTCTCCCAGACACCGTGGTGAGATGACCCAAATATGTGGAAGCGTTTACACCTTACATTTGCAGAGTGCTTTGGGGCTGGTGAAGCATCCCCGCATGCATTCATTTACTGAATCTTAGTGCTTTCTTGGGAGAGAAACCCAAGGTTATTGAATCTCAATTCATGGGTGAAGAAGGTGAGTCTGCAGCGATTAAGAGACTTTCCTAAATTCTAGATCAGATGAATGAGAAACCAGTCCTCGGACAATGGTCCAGCTTCAAGGGAAGCTGGCCCCACTGCCCCCTGGGTGTTTAGACATGCAAAGCCACCTGCTGCAAGCTCTCCTGGGAGGGCCTCCACCCAGCCCACTCCTCTGGCTTCACGTGGCACAATACCTAAGCGCCCAGAAGGACAAGTGCTGGCAGAATTTCTCTCCGAAGAACGCCAGAACTGTGACCACACAGTTTCTCAATAGCATTGCCAGTGGGCTTCTAATGAATATTTCTGCTTTTATTTTGTAGCTCCCCACATATGGTTGTCTAGTTACTGTCCCAGTCAAATGTTTTGCACTCAGGTCTCTCATCCTGGGTGTTTGTAGAGATCACAAGCAGAGATGTGGCATCCTTAATAATGACCAGCTTGGAAATGGCTCCGTTAGCCCTCGGCCCTAATAATGCCAAGTTTCCTGAGGTCCTGGTTGTCCTGAATGGCCCTGCTGCTGAGAGGGCACAGGGCCAGGCATTCCAACCGCTTCCCGCAGGAAGTCAGGCGAGCACCTAATCACTTCCCTCCGCCGGTGGCATGTTGACTATTACTGTGCTATAACCTGGGGTAAGGGCAGGTGCACATTCTCAAGGCAGTCCCACCAGGCTGCACCTTCACTTCCCATAAAGAATGCTGAGTCAAAGAAAACAATATGTACACTTGTCCAGGTCTACAAATCCCCTTGGCTGTGTCTCTGACAGGAAAGCAGGGACACAGCAATGAGTTGGCATTAAGATGGAGAAGAGGCAAGAAGGAGGAGGGAATGCAGAGGAAGAAGGGAAGCTGAGAAAAGGAAGAGATCTAATCGTCAGTGTTGAATATTTAATGAAGAGTAAGATTACAACGTTCAACAACGTGTATCCCGTGTCATGCTGGTCCATTTGCATAGCATATTGCCACATTTTGCTCTTCAGTTGTGCTATGAATTGTGAGGAACAGAATCTCCCCTGGAGACCAGCTTCCCTGTCTCAGACGAAGTGTCCTGTGCCTTTGGGCTCTTGTCCAACAAAACACAGCCTCCCTGGGGCAGAGTAACCCACGTCCCCTGGGCTTTGCCCTTCACATCTGAGGATTGAAAATGGACTAACGGGTGGTTTCACTGCCCCTGCTTACTTTAACAAGCTCGGAACCCCGCACACCGTGTGCCTGTGAGCAAACAAATCCTCTGAGGTTTGCAAGGCTAACAATGTCCTGGCACCTGAGTACACAGAGGCCCGGTGTTCTGCACTTGAATCCTCCCTTAGAAGGCACAACCCAGTTTGGGAACTGCTGCTGATTGGAAGGCAAAATGGGCACATCTGAGGGTGGAGGTAGGTTAACCCTTCTGGGCCAAGACTGGCGGTGAGTAAAGAGAGACTGGGTTGGACAAAGTTGAAGGAAGACGAAGATGGCATGGGGCAGTTAGTTAAAGGAGGCTTCGAGGCCAGGTCAACAAAATTTGGATTTGATTCAACCGAACTTTTTGCTAGAGCTCTGGGAGCCAATGAGGCAGAGTCATGTAACTTACAAAAGCTGTCCCCTTTTGGTAAAGGACAGGTAAGCAGTCCTCACTGGCTCCAATGGCAGGTGCCCTGGTATAATGCACAACCCATACAGCTACGTGTGACAACCCTGACTGGTTAAGAATTTAGAGCAGAAGATGATGTGACAAATGGAATTTTAAGAAATTTCACTTAGAAACCTTAAATGGGAGCTCTGTAAGATTTAAGAAAAGTTAGGGCTTCATTTATCAATTACTACCGTGTTTCCCTGAAAATAAGACATCCTCTGAAAATAAGACCTAGCTCAACTTTGGGAGAAAAAATTAATATAAGACACTCTTATTTTCTGGGAAACAGGGTATGTACAAACCATCTTAAGACTTAATGGCTTAGAACAAGGGTCATTTTATTTGCTCACAATTCTACAGTTTAGCGGGGCTTTTGATGGGTATGTAAGTGGCACTGCTGTCCTGCATTCAACAGATGAGTAGGCTGAGGCTAGGCTTAGCTGGGGAGCTGGGGCAACAGGAGCCCCCTCCCCACGTGGTCTTTCCAGCCAGGTAGCCAGAATTCTTACATGGCTGCTCAGGGCTTCAACAGTGCAAAGGCGGAAACTGCCACGTCTTGAGACTTAAGCTGGGAATGAGTGCCATGTTCATCAACTGCTTCCTATTGGTTAAGTCACAAGGATGTGAGTCCCAGTTGAGGCCACCAGTGAAAGGGGCTGCAGTCTGTTAAGGAGCTCTGGGGTCCAGCAGGGGGAGTGGTGAAGATTAGTTTTCTTTTTAAGGATGATCTCCAGATTATTTACTTTTGACGTGGGATATAGCCTATCAGTTTCTCTTTCTAAGTACATTCTAATAAGATTAATGGCAAAATAGAGTGCATTCCCCCAAAACAAGTGTCATAAATCACTATACTTGTTATAAGGATAAGTCTCAGGTTTTTTTGTTTGTTTGTTTGTTTTTTTACAAAATATAAAAGGAATATGGATAATTAGGAGTGAATTATATATTCTTGGACAGGTAAATTTAGGGACACAATCTTATTTTGAATTTTTTTTTCATAACAACATACTGCAACATGTATCAGGACACAAAAAACAAACAGATAGTCTTTCCATGAACACTAATGTTTCTTTTTTTTCATTCTGGAATGTAAAGTTCTTTTAAATTAAAGCATAGTGAACATACAATAGTATATTAGTTTCAGGTGTACAGCATAGTGATATAGCATTTATATACCTTATGAAGTTATTATCATAAGAAATCTAGTGTCCATCTGTCACTGTGCAAAATTATTGCCATGTTACTGACTGTATTCCCTATGCTGTTCATTACATTCCTATGACTTATTTATATTATAACTATAAGTTTGTACCTCTTAATCTCTTTCACCTGTTTTGCTCACATCCCCACCACTCAACTCTCTGGCAACTTTAGTTTGTTCTTTGTATCATAAGCGGTTAGTCTACTACATTCATTATATGTTTGCTTTTACTAGTGAGACTTTTTCTTTTATATATTTTCATATTCCTAATTTTAGCTTTTTCTTTTCCATTTAACGAATTCCCTTTAATGTTGGTTTAGTGGTGATGAATTTATTTAGCTTTTGCTGTCTGGGAAGCTATCACCTTTATTTTATTTGTTTATTTATTTTATGATTTGGCTTGTTATTTTCTTTCTTTCTTTTTAATTTACCTCTATTGTTGAAAGTATCTCCTTTAATTCTGACTAACCTTTCTGGGTAGGTTGTCAGCTTTTTCCTTTAATTACATTGAATATGTTATGTCACTTCTTTCTGGCCTGCCAAATTTCTACTGAAAACCCAGCTAATTGTCTCATGGTGGGGAGAGGGGGGTTCCCTTGTACATAACTAGTTATTATTCTCTTGTTGCATTTTAGATTCTCTCTTAATCTTTAACTTTTGACATTTTAATTATGATATGTCTTGGTGTGTGTCTATTTGAGTTAACCTTTCTAGACCGGGAAG